ATCTTTTTGAAAGAACTGGCTTTAAGGGCTACGACACCGTGATCGGTGCAGGAAGCATAGCATTATCTGGTGGGCAGAAACAACGTTTAGCCATCGCAAGAGCTTTGGCAACTAAGCCAAAGATTCTTTTGCTTGACGAAGCCACTAGCGCTTTGGATACAGAAAGCGAAAGAACAGTGCAGGCTGGTTTCCTCTTATTGCCCTTAGCGATAAAGTCAAGCGTAAATCTTGAAGTTACTTTAGCAAGCACTGAATAATGCAGCACATGGAAGAACTACAATAGTAATCGCTCATCGTCTCAGCACTTTGAAGGATGTAAAGAGGATTCACGTAATTGATGAAGGAAAAGTTATAGAATTTGGTAAGCACACTTACTCCTAAACATGTTAGGATATCAAATAAGTCTTGCAATTAAGTCAAGTTTTTGCTTCATGTTCACGACCATTTTCTAATATTATGTAAATCATGATGTGTGTTACAAATGGCTCCATGCTTGCTTTTAAGTGACAACATAGGTAATTTACAAGCATTTTTCTAATTCAACAAACTTTGTGGACTTATGGGGTTATAAGCAGACATGAAGCCGTTTTCAACATATAACAACGATCAGTACACATGAATTAGGAAAATATCACTTCTTCAATCAACGATGGGACAAAAAAAACCTTACTAAACCTTGAAGCAGAGACTTGTCGGGCAAATTCTGCTAAAGTAAACAAACCTAATTGGAGAAATTCTGCTAGTTCACAAAGCATGTTCAACGGCAGCTCCCCGCAGCTGGATCCGATCAAGTATGGACTTTGTACTTTTGATCCCGTGCTTTGACAAGGTTGGCACCTTGTATGCAGTAAGCACATCACCTCTCAAAAAAATCCACCAGTGCGCCAAACTTCATGTTTCATAATAATCAAAAATAATACAAAGTGAAAAACACAAAGTACCTGATCAGTAGATTGACAACAATTCATGGACTTGAAGCTTTCAGATTTTTAGGAACTCATTTTGAGTTGTTAGAAAGGAATGGCCTGTATAGCAAGCTTGCAAAAGCTCAAGAAGTACAAAATGACGGGACTCAACGAAAAATGTGTGTTAGTGACGCTGGTGGGAAACTGGGACGGTATCTTATCAAA